ATTCAGCTAGCACCTAACGTAAGCTGCTAGGTGCTAGCATTGATCATACTCAGTCTTTTCTCAGACCATCATCTCCAGCTGAACCATCAAACACAAAGCAAGAGCCTGAGCGAAACCCCTTTCAGAACAGAAAAAGGACCTCTATGGGTAAAAAAAAAACCAAAACAAAACAACAAAACAAAACCCAAAAACCCAAATAGAAAGAGGCATCAAGGAAAGAGTTTCCATTGAGAGTTATTTTCCGCAGTTTACACCCAAGGAAAAGTATTTTAGGTGAGAATTTGCTGATCCTTACAAGTTCCTTAAAACTCCCACCGCTCACAACAAGACCACTCACACGACATGTTGCTGTCAGAGCCAGCAGAAATCAAACAATGCGTTGCTCCCCATGGAAAAACACAGAAAATCTGCAATTAAATATGATTATTTTCCCCATCAATACAGGTATTTTCCACAGCCTCAACTATTTTGGTATCACATTATTGCCTAGCCTTAACGTGACCATTTTGAGGAATGGGGATTTGGTTGTGAGTTTTGTGGTGTTTGGTTGTTTTTAAACACAAAATTCAAGGTCAAAGGAGTCCTTGTTTTATATAATGTAAGAGTTTAGATGGTAACTTAACCCTGAATTCCTTCTTTTTAAATAGATAGGCTGCCAAAGGCTTCCGTTACGCACAATTACTGAACGATGCTTAGAAAGTGTGTTTAAAAAAAAAAAAACAGCAGTCGATTCTGTTCTTCATCTGCATTCCCAGAGAGAAAAAGTACTGGAAACTGGACATGGATAAAGTTTCCCAGAAAAACAAGCCTAAACTTGACTCCTAAACCCTTTTAGTAATCTAAATAGAAACCAGCCCAGTGTCATGTTAAACAGCAGGTTCCAGTAAAATCAGCAGTGGCACCCGAGGGCACTTCTGTAAGTCAGGACGTTTCCAATTAACGCAAAAAATTAATTCCAACATCCCAGGAATGTTTGGGGTACCCTTTCATCTTTAACTGATGGTATTTTGGCTCAACCCTGCTGGAAAGCCTTTAAGTTTCTCACCCATCTCCCAGCTTCTCATTTTCTCACCATTTTTGCCCAAAACACCACCACATTCTTCCAATTAATACTACGAAAGAGACCAAAAATTACAATAAATTCAAAGCAAGCAATCAAGAGAGAGGGAAGAAAGCCAAAACGAGTCATCTACAACACTGGCTCATGTTGAAGAGAAACTGGAGAGCCCGTCTTACCTCTTCCGGAACCTCGTTACCGGGAGTCGCTGCGATACCAGTCATGAAATCGCTTGTAATGAAAGTTCGGATAACCACAGATCTTTGACAGGAAGGTTGTTTCTGGAGGGGGTCCCGATCAAAATGCAACGGTGTCAGTATTACTGGCATCTGGCTAATTTTTCCCGCATAACCTTCAGAAAATAGTAGTAGAAAGTGCATTAATTTGGTTTGAAGATGCCAGCGTGACAGAGGTTTTACAGAATTCCCCAGGTGTACTTGAAACTACGCACTAGGAGCTGCATTCACACCATCTGGGATCTTTTTGCCACCACACCCCAGAAGATGACACTCATCGGCGCATACACCGCAACTCCTCAAATTGCCGCTGGAAATGACGTTCGGCACTGGCAGGCATGCAGAGCAAACCCAGATAATAGCCGTTATCCGTAGAATTCGCTGAGGATGCAATTTAGGAGCTACTTTCCTTCCCACACAACCTCACCACAGGGTTTTCTCTGTCCCCATATCAAGCCCAATGAAGAGCCATGCACAAGCCTTGGACATATTTAAGAGAATGCTCTTCAGTATCCCTGTTGCTGGTGGTTAATAGGTAACTCCAGATATCATCACTCACTTCCTTGAATTTTTTACAGTATTTCCTTCTGAAATCCAGTGCAGAGACCCCCAAATTTCACTGTTTAAATGAAGAGCCAGTCTAACACTGACACAAGCTCTCACCCCCCGCTAGCTCTGGCCTGAGCTTCTGGTACAGGGAGTCTTTGCCACAAAATGATAACTCAAGTCCTATTTTTGGCAGCAATTCGTTCACACAAAGCCAAGTGTCACCAAAAGTTAGTGAGACACACCAACAGTTTTACAAGCACAACCGACAGTGTCATCCTCAGCCTTTTGGGGCTATTTCTGTACAAATTATGGTAAGACAACCTTGCAAACAGAGGATGTAATAGCAAAGAGAGATACCCTGTGCAACTTGATTTAGACAAAATGTAGTCTGATGTAATTAATTAAATGTAATTAAGTTAAAAAAAGCCCCAAAAGCTGAACCTCAGAACCACTATATTCCCAGACTCCACCTGTGCACCATGTCACAAGGCACTGAACACTCAAAGGGTTTGAAGTGCTACTGTCTGCGAGCCTGGGGTGGTTGGGTTTACAAATGCAGCTTTTAATTTAAGAAATACAAAGGTAGTGAGCATCATCAACATTAGAAACTTAGTATTTGGGCTCCCTTCTTTGCACAGGAAAAAAAAACCCATGATGCAGAAACTACGTCAAGTTTCCTGACAGTTTATTTCAGGTGAACACTGATGCCTGAGATCTTGCACCACGGACAAGTAACTCTGTTGACTTCCAGCTGGCCAACAGTACTTCTTGCAGAGGTCTGCACTGCAGTGAAGTGTTGTGACCTGCCAGGGGCAAGCCTCAGTCCCCACAAATCCCCTGAAATTAATTCTCCAGAAAGGCTAGCAATTCCTGTCCTTTAGCTGTCAGCTTCTACAACTGTCAGACAGGTTCTTGCTGCCATCCCATGCACTTATCACTTCTCTGGAGGTATTCAGTAAGTCCGTAGATGTTGACGGTACCACCAAAACTATTCCCAGTTAGGTTTGCAGGGATCTTGATAGAAGAGCATAACCCCTCTGTGGCAAAGCACCTACCAGACTCCCTGAGAATATTGTGAGCCTCAAAATCAGCTTGACGTAAAGTGCTGAGGACTCCCGTCGTCAGGAAAGTGGGGGTGACGTCCGTAGGAGGTTCCTTAACTGGTGGACCAAACACATACACAACTCTGGAAAACAAACAGGATGGTAGGAAAACACGTTTTGTGTAGATGGAATACAACAGGTTCCTTAAAGACTGCATCTTCAGTGCTACAGTGAGAAAATAAAACTAGGAAAAAGCATAAATTTGATTTTCTCCTTAGCTACGAAGTGAAGCTTAATTTAACCTCATGCACATATTCTATAAACATAACATATATACTAGCTCTGGGAGTCAAACATATTAATTTATTTTGGTTTGCTAGAGGCTAGCAATAGTCCCAATATTACTTATTCAAGAGAATTACCCTCTGAGGGAAAGAAGTACCCAGAAATATTAACCCAGTGGTATCACAAAGGGTGTTTTCTCAATTCTACTTTGATGTCAGTAAAAGTTAAGATTATTCTAAGAACGCTGGTTAATAAGTGCTTACAGTTTCTATCTTCTCTCCTAATAGGAAACCACCAAAACCACCATTAAATAGCAAACCTGATTGTTAACGAATAGCTACGTCATCATCGCAGGGCACTAACACTGCTATTCATACATCTACATAACTACATCTGTAATTAATTATTTTCTGAACTCAAAACAGTTGCATCAGCTTCATCTTTTTCATTTCACTCGTGTTTTATATGTTGCAGAACAAAAAGCAAAGTATAGTACTGTCTGACGGGCCTCATACCAGGATTTACTACGATGTGTTAACACAAGTTATTTGAGTTTGTAGATACAAATGCAGAACAATTGTCTACAATCCAGAAGAGAAAAATATGCAAGCTTTACATTCCATATTTGTTTGTAATCTGAAGTCTGCAGCAGAGCTGGGCAGAAGACCAAGTATTTCAGTGCACTCCTCAAGCTGCCAGCCTCAGTGTCCCTATAACAGCAGTGAAAGATTCTGAAAACATGCCCTGGCTCAGCAGAATTCACAGACACAGGGTATATTCGAAGAGGGTAGTACTAAATCCAAGAGAGTTTAAAGAAAATAGCAACGCTGTAAAGCCAGCACATGCGAACCTGATTTTATGCCTTCTTTTGTTCCCTCTGCACTTAAGAACTATCTTGCAATTCAAGATCTCACCTCGAAGAATAATAATTCCTCTTTCAGTAGGTGTCACTTAGGCAAGAAAATTACGTTTTGCTGTAAGCAATTATAAGTGGTTTCATCAGAAAGTCTACAGCAAGCAAGGAGGATATGCACTCTCCAGAACTGATTTAATATCTAAGCAACTTCAGCTGCTAGAAAAGTTATGGAATCAAGTAGGCAGAAAATGCATATTCACAAAGAGCTCAATTAAGATGAAACTGCCAGGCTTTGGAGCTTTCCTGTGTGCCATCAGAACTGACAGTCCCACGTAAACTCCCTCCTTGACAAAAAGCAAAAACCACTGCATGACACCACACCTCAGCAACAGGCCTGGAACCTTTCCAAAGAGATTTTGTGTAAGTTAATCACAGAATAGAACTATAAAACCTTTTGAGATGAGACATTCAAGCCCACCCAGTCCAACCGTTACCCAAGCACTGCCCAGCCCAGCACTGACCTGTGAGCACCTCGTCCACACGGCTCTGAAACCCCTCCTGGGATGGTGGCTCCCCCCTCCCCTGGGCAGCGCGTTCCAATACCTGGCAGCCCTTTCCAGGAAGACAATTTCCCTAATATCCAATGTGAATCTCTCCTGGCACAACTCAGGGCCATTTCCTCTTGTCCTGTCACTGTTACATTGGATGCTGTCTAATCAAGTGCTTAAAGATATGCAGAGACAGGCTTATCAATTCCTTTTCCAAGCTAGTAATTCCAGAAAAAAGCCTGTGCTTTGATTTACTGTGTATCTGTAACCTCTCTATGATCCACCTGTTCAACACATAAAAGACATTATACAAAGATTAAACAGAAGAATGCTTGTGCGTGCCAAACTTCCATACATTAAGTACCATTAGAATCATAAGTAGATCATTAAAAATAAAGGTAATTCAAAATACTTACCTGTTTATGTTGTGGCACATGCGTGGTATGAGCCTGGCAAGAAACATAAGAGACTCCCAGTGTGGAGCATCTTTACTAGAGATCCCACAAACATAGCTGTATGACCGACAGTCACCCTATAAATAAATTTTTAAAAAAGTTAATTGAATGTGAATTGTACTGCCAAAATAACTCACAGCCCTCTCCCACTCTTCCTGCAGGTTGCAGGACTACACGTATTTTGTGCCGACACGTAGCAGTCACTAAGCTGGTGAAAGCTGAGACACCAAGTGAACCAGAAAACAGAGTAAGACGACAGCCCTCTCATGAGCTAACAAGAGCCTATGAACGGAAAGATTCAGAATCATTTAAGGTGACCAGAGCAGAGGGACCGACTGCGCCCTGGTACGTTCAAGACACCACCTGAGGAGCCTGTGACAACGTACAGAAACCTGCTGATGACGCTGCTGTGCGAAACAGCAACAAGAGCTGACTGCAGGGCGTTAGAGAAGCGACGCACAAGCTTAACCGGCCGATGATAAAATCAGAGGTGTAATTCAACACAGAGTGCAGAAAAAGGCGCTTTACAGCTCTGACTACCCAGTACAGAAACCTTCCAAGTTACTGCACACAGCTCCATGAGAATGCCAGCTCAGCAGCTGTATGTGGTGTGTGTTTCTGTCACCGAGGGACAGCCCACAAAAAGGCACATGGCATTAGCAAAGGAGGGAAAGGACAGAACACACCATGCCACCGCAGAGATCCAAGCGTCCCCGCTCCCCAAACAGCCTGCACTGCTCTGCTTCCCTCCCACTCAAGGATAAGGAGGTAGTAGGATTCTCAGGTTTTCAGGAAAGGGCAACAAGCACATTCAAACGCAGGAAGCAGGGAGTTTTGGCCAATTTAGTCAAGGACTCCTGAGCCTTAAAGTGGGCAACAGGATTATGGCAGAGGTCTACAAGATTCCGAATGTCATGAAGAAACTGCCTGTAAGTGACCAGCTTTATTCAACCTTAATGCCATAGAATCATGGAATGGTTT